CCGGGCTGGGGATTCGAACCCGCCACCTTAGGTGTACGTGGCTGGTGCCTTAGCCGGTTGAGCTATAGGCGCCGAGCCTTTTTTTCTTATAAAAATCAGAAAATAAAAAGAGTAATGAAGGGAACTTTTACCACCAGGTATTACCATGTATCCAAAACCTGCTATCTTTCGTACTGACAGAGATCAATGAAGCAAAATAACCTGGAACAAAACCCAGAGTATTGTCTCTCAGGACGGTGCGTACGCCGTTAAAATAGTATTAGGTATTTTATCTAAGAATAATAATAGTCTTTTAAAAAAGTCACCATAAATCAAAAGAGGGGGAAAGGATCATCTAATAACTAGGAGCACGTGGGTCTGATTATCAGCAGTACTTGTTCTTTTTCTGAGAAGGGACTTGTTTTTTGAATCCCAGAGGAAACATATGTTGAACTTGGGCTTCCTTATTTACATTGGCTAAAGAGTCTGACTCTAAATTTAGCTGATGTATAAGACTAAGTGTTATTTACTTATCTATACACATGCATGCGTACACACACGAGCACATAAATATCCATATATACGCTCACACATGCAGACACGGCTCATTCTTGGTTTCATTTTGTTTCTTCTGTTTCACCTTTTTTTCCTATTTCTGCTTTGTCAAATCTTTTTGTATTTTATGTATCTTTACAAACCACTTTAAATACATTTTGGGGGAAGAATGTGGAATATGTACACCATGGAATATTATGCAGCCTTAAAGAAAGATGGAGACTTTACCTCTTTCATGTTTACAAGGATGGAGCTAGAACATAGTCTTCTTAGCAAAGTATCTCAAGAATGGAAGAAAAAGTATCCAGTGTACTCAGCCCTACTATGAAACTAATTTATAGCTTTCATACGAAAGCTATAACCCAATTATAGCCCAAGAAGAAGGGGAAAGGGGAGAGGGAGGGGAGGGGTAGAGGGAGGATGGGTGGAGGGAGGGTGATCTGTGGGACCACACCTACGCTGCATCTTACAAGGGTACATGTGAAACTTACTAAGTGTAGAATATAAATGTCTTAACACAGTAACTAAGAAAATGCCGTGAAGGCTATGTTGACCAGTTTGATGAAAGCATTTCAAATTCTATGTAAAACCAGCACATTGTACCCCATGATTGCATTAATGTACATAGCTATGATTTAATAAAACAAAATAAATAAGTAAATGAATACATTTTGGGGTAAGAATGTGGGCTAAACGTAAGTAGAATAAAATATGACAGATAGCAAAAAGATTTAGAGAAAATATACCCCAATTTATGTAGGTTGATTGGGGGGGCATATGGTGGTGGTTGGATTATTAATTTTCTCTCAAATTTTCTACAGTTTTGAAATTTTCTACTCAAAGCAAAACTGTATCATCAGAAGAAAATCCTTATTTTCATTCATTCACCATGCCGCCCAGTAAAAGGAATGCTTTTCCTCCGGCAGGTGGATGTATGTGAGGGTCTCAGAGGGCAGTGTTAGGCACAGGGGTCCCCAGGCTTTACAGCAGGAATAGTGGGCCGGGTTCCCAGCAGAGCCTCCTCTCCTCGGTCCTGCAGAGTGGGATGTGAGAGCTGGCAGGGAGCATTCCTTCGCGATGAGAGCATCTGCTGAACTCTTCCTAGGTCTGGGCAGTCAGGGCTTGCTCTGGGGGAGTTTACATCCGTCCCAGTGGGGAGTCAGATCGTGAATCAATGAAACTGGTACCAAAACTATCACAAATAGCAGTGCAACCCTGGCATGGTGACGTGTAGGCTGGATGAGAAGGATGAGAGGAGATGCCGGAGTCCAGAGCTAGGGAAATGGATTGGAGGGGGGGCTGCTCTAGAGTTGGGCAGGTTGAAGTAAAAAGCAGTCAGGTGGCTGATGGCCACTGGAGAGTAAGTTGGAGAGATCTGGCTGGACCAGATCTGGCTGGACCACAGGAAGGAGCTGGAGTTTTGCTGTAAAGACAGTGAATAGCTCCTGAGGGATTGATCAGGGGGGATGGTAGCATCTGATTCATCCAATTAAATTTAAGAAGATCCTTCTAGCTACTTATGGTTTGGAGAGGACTTGGGTGTGGCTAGGGAGGTTCTGTTTAAACTGATTGCAACAAAGTGAAGGTTTCGTGATTTCCTTTGATGGGAGGGTTGGCACACAATCTAAGGAAAAACTGGAATTGTTTGGTCAAGATTTCTATCATCGCATTTTAGGGGCGGAATGGGCTTGCGTTTAAAGTGTACATCATCTTTGCTCTTGTTGATAACATTATCTGTGTTATAGACACTAGCTGTGTGTGCGCCCACTTAATTACATATAGTAATACCTAGGAAAAAGTAAATTTTTAATCTTTTTACAGAGACAGTGTGTTGCTATGTTGTCCAGGCTGGATTTGAACTCCTGGGCTCAAGCAATCCTCTTGTCTCAGCTTCCCGGGTAGCTAGGAGTACAGGCACGTGCTGCTACACCCAGCTCATGAAAAAGTTAATGTCCCCCCAGAGAACATTCAGTGTAGATGCACAGATCTCTGATGTATACAAAGCCAAGCTCAGTTGATCACAATTTAGCAGTATCTGCACGATTTGATCCATTTCAGAAATCTGAGCTCACTAGCATTGCCTGGGCTGGCATTTCTTTTTTTTTTTTTTTTTTTTTTTTAGCTCAGAACTGCTTACCTGGGTGCAAAAATATGTAACACTGTATTTAGGAAGAGTGATTCATTGCTTTAGGTGTCAAGCATCCCGGCTTTTATCTTTCTTGTTGCATAGGTTTGATGTGACCTTGACCTTGACCTTGACCTTTTCAGTTTGTATTTTGGTGCAGAAGATGGGTAATAATAGTTCTAGTAAACCAGTTGTCACACTAACTCAGTGAGAGCTCTCCAAGACTAGGAGAGATGAGAATAAGCTTACCTTGCAGACCTTGTTGGGAACTTTAATCTTTATCTGAAGAGCGAGGGGAAGCCATCGGATGATTTAAATAGGGGAGTGACATAAGGTTGACAGATAGGGACCAAGAGTGTGTGTGTGGTAATATTATACGCATTTTAAAGCAGCACTGAAATTTAGGGCAGTGGAGATTAGGTAGTTTACGCCATGGGACATTTCAGTGGAGCCAGGAAACAAACTCAGGTTAGTCTGAGTCCCGAATCCTGTGTTTTCCATATCAGCCTACCTCAATACCTCAATAATATAACAGCAACTGCAATTTGAAAATGCTTTGAACTCCTAAGATGAAAGATTTCCCTTAAATTACAAAGTAGTATTATGCTGCAGAAATGTGAGCGGTAATGAGAGAGCGGGTTTGCCTGGGGACTTTGAAAGGCCCGGGCTGCATGGACGTGGTCCAGGACCTTCCAAGTTCCTTGCAGTCTGGTAGAGGGCGTCTCACAAGCAGCCTCAACAAAAAGAAGGGATCGGTGGCTCTGTGCTGGGCCATTTGACACTGCCATTGTCCTTAAGGACTCATTGTCCGTGAAATGTGCCCAAGGCCGGTGCTTTCAGGAGTTTGAGTTGGGAAATCAGATCTGGGCAGTTCCTGCGTGGTTTCGCTGGAGCCACCATCCACTGCCAAGTTTCTGCTTTCTCCCTCGTAGGTAGGCAGCTGGCTTAAGTGGCTTCTGAGAAGCTAGTTGTAGAGATCAGTGTCTCGACTTTAACCCAAGAAGCCTTGTTCAGGGCTCAACTGGGAAAAATTCTGCTGGCTCATGGCCCTCCAGGCTCCTGGTGGTGATGGCAAATGTGCTTCTTTCCAGTTGACCATGTCGTTCCTGAGCCTGGGACAAGCCTGCTGTCTGCGTTTGACCAGTGGCGGGAATGGGCCGACAGCAAGTCCTGCTGTGACTACTCTCTGCATGTGGACATCACGGAGTGGCACAAAGGCATCCAGGAGGAGATGGAAGCTCTGGTGAAGGACCACGGTAGGTTGCACAGACTCAGTACCCTCTGCAGACGTTCCCATTTCAGTCCACACACTGGCATAGTTCTGGGAGGAAAGGCTCCATGAATCATGCTTCAAGATTCCATCTGCACCTCACACCTGTGCCTGCCCCTGGCTAAGGGGAGGACTTTGGGCCACACTTTTGTGCTAATGGGAGGTGGCCTACTGCCTTGATAAGGGAATATGAGCCTTGCTGCTGGGACGTTTTCTTGCTTTGAGACATCTGTGTTCTGTAGCCAAGGAGGTGAGGCTGCTGTGAGAGTGATACACACTTGTCCCCTCGGAGGGTAGCAAGTGCCTGTCCCCAGGAGGGTTCTGGGCAGCCTTAGGAGAGTGCACACAAGTCTTGGGTGTTAGGCAGCCTCTTCCTGCAAACCTAGAATAATCCAGCAGGTATTTGAGGGTAACGAGGCAGGCAAACCTGAGACAACCTGAGGGGACTTTCTGTTTTGTAGAATTCTTTTGGGGAGGACGGTTCCAGGGATTGGAAAGATTCACAGGGGGGGTGGAGGATTCTTCACCACCTCAAGGTGCCTCTGGGGCTTATCTGCCAACAGGGACTTCAAGGGTTTAGGTGGAAGATCCAGACGACATTGTCTTCCTGGGTCTCTTTGCTCTGGAAATGAGATTCTGGGGGTCTCTTGTGGAACCCCTAACCTTCAGGGAAACACCTGCTTTAGGTTTCTGGGACTTGTAGACCAACAGACAACATGTGCTAGGAGTAAAATGGTAGGAGAGAAACTCTAGACATGGATATGATAAAAAAAAGTCCCAGAAAGAAAATTTAGAGTCTAGGAGTTAATTCTCTGCTTTTCCACAGATTAGCTTTGTGACTTGGGCAAATCACCTAAGTTTTATGGGCCTCATTTTTTTTTTTTTTTTAAATCCTCTTACATGAGGGTATTGGACTAGATGTCCTCTGAGATTCTTTCCAGCACAAAGCTTTCACATAAAAAACAAATAGGTAACCTTTGGCCTTTCTTACTTTTGGCAATATCGAGACTCTGATGGATTTAACTTTTGATGCTTAGGATGAATCCTCTCCAAATCTGGCAGGAGGGTTACCATAGCAACTGTTGCCTGGCAACGAGAGAAGGGCCGGATGTCCAGAGACATTTAACTCTGGCAGCTTCCAACACCCCCCAGGTGGCTTGGATTAATCTCCAAGGCTGTGGGGTTGTCAGGATGATTGTTTAAAATTGTGATGGATGTTGGGCTGGGATGTTTGGTCTGGTGCCTCGGGAGGCGAGGGCCCTTAAGACGCCAGGATGAGAATTGCAACATTGTGTGTTGAACTAATGAACCTCTTCTTATTTGAAAAATCGTTTCATAAATATCAGCATGGAAGGAAGTCTGTTTGCCAAAGTGAAAACATTTATTATAGACTTTCATAGACCGAAACCTCTAATTCATTTTCTTGTTAAAGTCACAACAGACTTGGTTTTGGAAGTAGATTTTTAAAAAGTTTAACTGCGATAAACTAAATATAACATTCACTATCTATTTTTAAGTAGACAGTTCAGTGGCATTAAGTACATTTACATTTTGGTGCAACCGTCGCTCACTGTCCATCCAGAGGCCTCTTCATCTTGCAAAATCAATACTCTGTCCCCATTAAACACCAACTCCCCATCTTCACTGCCCCGAGCCCGGGCAACCCCTGTTCTACTTCCTATCTATGAATTTGACTCCAAGATGCCTCATACAAGTAGAATCATACAGTATTTGGTTTATTTCTCTTAGCATAAGGTCCCCAAGGTTCGTCTTTGATATGACACGTGTCAGAATGTCTTTCCTCTTTTAATGCTGAATAAATAATGTCCCATGGTTTGAATAGTCTTCATTTTGTTCATCCATCCATTCTTCTGTTGACGGGCACTTAACGGCATCCACCTTTTGGCTGTATGAGTAATGCTGCTATGAACATGGGTGTAGAAATACTGGCAACTCTTTCATGTTGATGTAGTTTTAAACGTATAGAAAAATGATAAGAATATTAAAAAGGATTCTTGTGCGCCCCGATCCCATACTCACTAGTTGTTTGCACCCCATTTGCTTCCTACATTCTCTCTTCCTTTGTGTGCGTGTGTGCAAACACACACACACACATGTGTGCACACACACGCACACACATCACACACACATGCACGTACATACATGCACATATACGCACACACGCACACACATCACACACACATGCACACACATGCACATATACGCACACGCACACGCACACATGCACACACACGCACACGTGCACACATGCACACACACGTGCACACACGCACACACGCACACACGCACACATGCACACACGTGCACACACATGCGCACACACGCACACACGCACACATGCACACTCACACACGCACACATGCACACACACGCACACATGCACACACATGCACACATGCGCACACACGCACACATGCACACTCACACACACGCACACATGCACACACACGCACACACACACGTGCAGACACACATGCACACACGCATGCACACACGCACACATGCACACTCACACACACACATGCACACTCACACACACACACATGCACACACGCACACACGCACTCACACACACATGCACACGTATGTATAGCATTGTCACTTTCTTTTCCCTTCCCTTCCCTTTTTGTTTCGGTTTGTCTGTTAAAAGCCCTGTCTCCATCTCTCTATTTTTTCTGTCCACTAGGGGTAAATTCCTTCCTCGTGTACATGGCTTTCAAAGATCGCTTCCAGCTAACGGATTCCCAGGTAAGGAAGAAAGTCATGTTTTCTGAATAGTTGCACTGATGTTAGGTACAGCCAGGCTGCTGCCGTCTGGGGAAGAAATCTTCAGGGTATGCACATCCTCAGCTTCATGGGAAGTGGCTGTTAGACTACGTGACTGATGTAAAACTTTGTCTTGAAAAAGGAACGTGAAACCAGTGTCCTGGCCTCTGGGACTGGAGCTCCATCAGGCTGTGGCTCTGAGCCTCAGAGCTGCCCCTCATGGCACGGCATGGCCCAGAGAAGCACTGGCAGCTTCCTGGGCAGACCAGGTGCAGAGCTGGGTGGCATCCAGGAGCTGCTCCGCCCTGTGCCGGGTCCTGCTGAGCCGTGCTGCCTTTGATAATCACAGAGGGGGCTTCCTCTGCCAGATGTGGCCAGAGACCTTACCCTCAGTTATACCAAAAAAGCCAGCCTTTGTAGAAGCAGCCGAGGGGTACCATTTCTCATCCAGCAATGTCGCCGGCAGGGGGATGGTTGTCGCTGTGACCAGGAAGCTGGAAGTTCTTGTCTCTGATCCCACCCTCCTCTCTCTCAGATATATGAAGTGCTAAGCGTGATCCGGGATATTGGTGCCATAGCCCAAGTCCACGCAGAAAACGGTGACATCATTGCAGAGGTAGGAGGCTTCTTCTTCACCTGAAGGGCAAGAGGCAGGCTCAGGAGAGCGAGACGTCGTCTGTAGCTTAACACGGGTGGAGAGCCGGAGGGGCCTGGAGCCCCCCTGTTGGGGCTCTGCTCAGTCTCACTGTGGCACAAGCCCGAGTGACACATGTCCTCCCCGGGTGCTGCTTCCTGTTTCACAGAGAGACTGTTTCTCTCCATGCTGTCATGTGCTGCCTCGGATGGGGTCTGGGGATGCCACCGTCACATGTAGGGATCGTGCACCATGGTTGGGGGCGGGAACATGTCGGCCGTCAGCATCCCGGGGAGCTAGCAGTTCTGGGGGGCTGTCACTGGTCCTTCCTGCTCAGACAGGACAGGACAGGGCAGGACAGGGCAGGGCAGCAGGCCCTTCTCCTCCTGACGTCTTGGGAGGAGGGCCGAGTGGTCACTGTGTGCCCAGCTCTCCAGCCGTCAGCTCTGTGATGTCACTCACCTGATAGCCTGGCTTTCTTTGAATTCCAGGAACAGCAGAGGATCCTGGATATGGGCATCACAGGCCCGGAGGGACACGTGCTGAGCCGGCCCGAGGAGGTGAGCACGGGTGGAAGAGGATGTATGAATCCGCCTCCCTGGGGCGCTGCGCAGAGCTGCTGGGAACCCATGTCCTCCCTTTTGAGAGAGTGGCTTCTCTGGCACAGATGGGGGTCTCTCAGGGCAACCAAGGGTCACGTGTGTCTGCACACCTGAGGGCCAGGCGGTGTGGATAGTGTGGCCTGAAGACGCCCCCTTCTGTCTCTGCTTCTCTAAGCCTTCTCTTGGATGAACACGAGTGGTTCTTTAGTAGCTCCGTGCACTCAAGGTTTTAGGAGTTCATAAGTTGTGGCTTCCAAAATCTTACCAGTCTGGGGCGGCGCCTGTGGCTAGTGAGTAGGGCACTGGCCTTGTATACTGAGGGTGGCAGGTTCGAACCTGGCCCAGGCCAAACTGCAAGAAGAACAACAACAAAACATACTATGGGCGATAAAGTGAGACTCTGTCTCTAAAACAACAACAACAAAACCCCAAAATGTTAGCAATCACAAAAACATAGCAAGGCGTCTGACAGCCCTCTAAATAACTACAAAGCATGGGGGGCTGTAGGTTTTCCCATAATAAGCCAGTACAGGGCGTCACATAACAAATAGAGTCCAGTAGAATCTTTTAAAATTGTGTAGGGGAGAAAAAAATAAATAAAAAATAAAATCGTGGAGGGGAAATTCAGAGCTGGGGTCCGTACCAGCACAAAGGTTGAGAGTTGCCGTCTCGGCGAAGTGTGTGGGTAGGAGAGGAGGCTGCTTGTGCCTCTGTGGTGGGAATCTGTTCTTCGAAGTTAGTATTTGTGGCTGCTGGGTGCTGTTTAGAAGTTGGCTCCCTAAGGAAGGGCTGGAGGTCTCGAGGACCTGGCTGAGAGTGGTCTGGAGCTCTGAGTAAGAAGGACAATGAGGGGCATTGTGGACACAACCAGACCTCTCCCTTGGTGGGAGGAGGGGACAGGAAGGGGTGGGCATAGGGGTGAGCTCATCCAGACCTGGTGAGGGTCTTCTGCCAGCACACTCCGAAGGGGCCAAGCCGCCCAACCACAGAGTTTTAGCCCTAGGACGTTCCTTCTGCATTTAATGTGTCCATATTGGCACTGAGGTGGACAGCAGCCTCCCCTTGTGAGAAACGGATCTGAAAAGGATGGAAACCTGTGGTCCATCCATGGGCTGCGGGAGGAGGAGCTGGTTTTTAGGGCCTCCTGCAGGCTTTAGGGTAGGGGTTGGGCTAGAAAAGGAGAAGGGGGGGTGGCACCTGTGGCTCAGTGAGTGGGGCGCCGGCCCCATAGACCAAGGGTGGCGGGTTTAGGCCCAGCCCTGGCCAAACTGCAACAAAAAAATAGCCGGGCGTTGTGGAGGGTGCCTGTGGTCCCAGCTGCTCGGGAGGCTGAGGCAAGAGAATTGCCTAAGCCCAGGAGCTGGAGGTTGCTGTGAGCTGTGATGCCACCGTACTCTACCAAGGGAGATAAAGTGAGACTCTGTCTCTCTAAAAAAAATTAAAAAAAAAAAAAAAGAAAAGGAGAAGGGGGTGAAACAGAGGCAAGAAAAAGAAGGGGAACCCTGTGTGGGGTGATTCACACATCTAGGGGTTTATACTTTGTGCTGCCCTTCTGACTACGAGCACACTTAGACACACACACATAGAGACATACACAGACACACAGACACGTGGATATAGACACACAGATTCATATAGACGGACGTGTAAACACACAGTGACACACAGACACACAAATATAGACTTGTAGACACACAGACACATACTCAGAGACCCACAGACACAGACATGTGGACACACAGAGATACACAGATGCATACACACGCACACACACTCTCACACATAGACACACACAGATGCACATGCAGAAGCTCCAGGACCCCTTCAGCTCCATCCAAGGCCCTGAGGACATATTCTTCTCCCCAGGAGACAGGGCAGAAGCCCTGAGGTTTTCAGAATGGTGCAGCCCCATTCCAGGCCAGTGTGTGGGTCTTTCCAACACCCCCGGCACTCTTGGGCCTGGTAGGAGCTAAAAGGTTGGGCTGGTGCCGCCCAAGGGTGGGGGCCGGGCCCCCAGGGAACTGGCACCTGCTCATGTTGCCCCCCATCAGTACTACTGCACGGTCCAGTTAGCCCAGGACGGTCCCCATCTGTCCCTGTTGCTATTGTGGGGTCATTAGCACTGCCTCTCGTGCGTTCACAAGTGTCCATGTTGGGACAACAAATCAGGCAGTCACCTGCATCTCTGGGAAGTGCTGAGGATTCTGCTGCAGAGAAGCGGGACGTCCCCACCCTGTGCCTCCCAGGCCAGGGACACTGTTGTTGCCACTGGGGCTGAGGAGAGGGAGGGCCTGTCCTCTGCCATCCCAGGAATTAGAAACACTTGGATGTTTAAGGAGCTTTTTCAAGAGCCCTTTGCTTTGCCTGTGGGTTTCGAGACATCTAGAGTTGGTGCCTGAAAGGTCACACACGAGTGAAGATGGCTCAGCTTCACTAAATTAGATTAGCAGCTTACGCGGTTACAGCCCTTAATCTCTTGGCCCGGCTCTGGTGGAGACAAGGTAGCTAAGTTAATTCAATCAGGAGCTCAGTTGTTCCTTGTGAGAAGTAACAGCCCTTTGTGGGACGGCCCAGTTGGAGATACCACTAATATGGAGTGAAGTCATTTGTTTTAGCAAACAGTTTTGAGCACCTGCTGGGTAGTAGACCGGACACTGGGAGTGACTGAGGGTGGGGCGTGGAGGATATAAACAGAGAGTGAGCCCAGCCCCTCCGCCACTGAGTTCAAGGCACGGTGGTTCTTTTTTTTTCTTTTTTTTTGAGACAGAGCCTCACTGTCACACTGTGTAGAGTGCTGTGGGTCATAGTTCACAGCGACCTCAAACTCCTGGGGTCAAGTGATCCTCTCCCCTCAGCCTGCTAAGTAGCTGGGACTCCAGGTGCCTTCCACAACACCCAGCTAATTTTTTTATTTTCTGTAGAGATGGGGATCTCACTGTTGCTCAGGCTGGTCTCGAACTCCTAAGTGCAAGCAATCCCCCTGCCTCGGCCTCCCAGAATACTGGGATTACAGGTGTGAGCCACTGAGTCTGGCCCAAGCCACAGTATTTTGCCAGGATTTGGGGAAGAAGCCAGTGACATTTTGATATCTGCTGTTCCATTATTTCCCCTGCTTTCCCAGTGTAAACATACACACGGCTGATTCCTCGTAGGATAGAATTTGATCCTGATCAGTTCAGCTTATTTATTTGAATGGTCCTTGCCTCCTATGCTGGTTGTTACGGTACCAGGCTGTGGCTGACTGGGTGGCCACGGTCATGCTTCACACACGGGGGGGTCATTGGTGTAGACAAATGCTGCCTGCCCCCTTCTCAGAGCCCTGTGAGGCCGCATTGTTTTGTGGGTGATGCTGGCTTTGTTTGTGAGTGCCCGACAGAAGCCCAGCACAAAACCACGTCACCAGTGTCCTGACTCGGGACCGTAGAAGCAGAATGAAGATGCTGAATTGAGAGCGCTCGGGGCGGAGGGGGTGGTTCTTGAATATTAGCCAGTGAGGAATCACAGAGAGTGTGTTCAGACCCACGCTCTGCTCCTAGCCTGGGGGGGTCTGCACAGGGCCTGAGAATCTGCATTTCTTATGGACTCTGGGCCACACCTGGAGAAGGGTCTGGAAGGAATCACCCCACTATTTCAACCACACCAATACTGAGTGGCACTGGGCCAGTCACGTCCCCCTGCAGTGTCCCTCGAGGTGGGACCTTGGGGACTTAGCAGCCTCTCTTGGGGGTAGGGGATGGGTGGAATAAGATGGGACTTGTGGGCTCGGCTGAGCGGACTTCTCACGGTGGTCACTCTTACACAGGTGGAGGCCGAGGCTGTAAACCGTGCCATCACCATCGCCAACCAGACCAACTGCCCCCTGTATGTCACCAAGGTGATGAGCAAGAGCTCGGCCGAGGTCATCGCCCAGGCCCGGAAGAAGGGTGAGGCTCCAGCTGGGCTGCCTGAGGGTGTGGGCGGGTTTGGAGGGGAGGGCTCCTTTTCCAGACCCTCATGCCAAGTGGGCCACCCGTGCCACATTCCGGCATTAACCTAATTACAGCTGAGCGGGGCAGGGAGCTCCAGTTTCCTCCCTTTGTTCTGCTGCGGCCTTGTTAGTATCTATTTAAAGCCATGCACAAGATGGGGTGGGCAGGTGCACCCCATCCCCGTGCCCCATAGAAAAGCTGGAATTAATGTGAGGCAGTATAAATAAACTGGATACATACACAGGTTACCTCAGTTTCCATCTGCTATAAAATCCGTCTGGGGAGCATCTGCCCCCTGGGCTGGTAGTAATTCTTACTGGGTGAGTAAGGCAGCATTGTGGGGTGCTGGGGGGTGCATTTCGCCCCAGACACTGTCATGGTCAGTCTTTTTGGTGCTCAATAAACTCAGTTGGTGCGTTCCAGGCTGAGGCTGGTTCTCTGATGTCACTTGGGGTCTGCTGAGAAGGTTCTTGGAAACTAATTTACAAATGCGACTTTCCGCATTTGCATATGGTCTGGAGGACGGGAACCTTGAACGTTATGTATGTGGCAGGACCCTGTGGTCACTTCCTGCTCAGTTATCCCACAGCTTATGCTGGGGAGCCGTCTTCTGGGAGAGCAAGCCTGGGGACGTGACTTCCACGGTGGCTCTTAGCCTGGAGGGAATTGGATGCTGTGGAGGACCCTCCCCTTCCACCTTCCTCCCCTTCTTCCTAGTTCGTCTCCCCACCCCTCGGCCTCTGTACCGCTCTGTCTCCCAGGTCTCCGTTCCTCTCCCCTCTCTCCTGATTCCTCTCTCCTTCCCTCTTTCTCTGACTCCGTCTTTCTCAGGCTCTCTAGTTCTCCGTGCCTTTCCCTCCCTGCGTCTGTCTGTCTCCACCAGTGAGGAGCAGTCTGACCTTGTGGCTCAGTTTCTGTTCTCAGTGGGGAGTGACCCACATGCATCCAGATGGGGTTGTGGGATTCTTTCGCTGGTGGGTGTCTTGGTGCAAGCCCTGGAGCAAATTGCTCAATGACCATTGAGTCAGTTTGTCCTGAGAGCTGATGGCTTCCAGACGGACCCAGCGGGGCCTGGCCCCTGTTCTTCGGCTTCACATCCTGGGGCCTCTGTCCTGAGGCTTTGCATGGAGAGGTCGCTGCCTGACAGTTTTCTTGGACACCTGCCCATCTCCTGGCATCTTGAAGGAATTGCCTTTTTGGAATAAAGCGTTTACTTCAATCAACATCTTTGAGTTATGTTTCTAGGAGACGCTCCGGATGAAGACTGAGTCGGTGGTCTTGAGTCATGCAGACACTGTCTGCAAGTCGGCTGGGCGTGCGTGGGGATCCACCTCGGTGTGGAGGCCAGTGCACGCAGTGGGGGATCGTCGGTGCAGCATCTGAAAGGGGAAAGGAGGAGGCAGCTTCATTTTTATATTTCACCAGACAGTGATGATAAACATTGCAGTGTAATTATGGAAAGAAAGTTTTCCAAAGTTCACCCCATATGCAAACACTTACCTAAACAAATGAGAGGACGGCGAGGTCCAGCCTCCCGCAGACCTCAGACAGGGCAGGGGGCATCATGGAGCCAGCCCTGCCACTGCTGTCCTCTTCTGCTGACCCTGGCCCTCTTCCTGGGGGTTGTAGAACTCGGGTGTGTGGTTGTAGCATCCAGTTCACTCCAGCATCTGGCTCTGTGCCTAGTGGCCCGCTGTTGTCTTTATAACTTTGACCCTGTGTGTCTTGGGGGTGAACATCAAGAGGGGCCTTCAGCCTGCTTCCTTCCAGAACTTTCTGGGCATGATTCCACCTGTGCCCACACCAGGGTTCTCAGGGTGGCATTTGCATTCAAACTGTCACCCTTTCGTCCTTGAAAACCTTCGCTTTAGATCAACCTGAGCCGCTGGAAAGGAATTTGCGATTTGTGGTGCATTCAGGTGCTCCTGTGCAGGAATGAGAAACCCTAGCTGACTTCACAGGCTCGGAAGGCTCTTTCCCATCTCCCTGGAACTTCATAACAACTTCAGGAGGCGGGCCAGGCAGGAATTTTTATGTTTTGTTCTACTTTGCAGCTGAGTAAACTGAAGCTCAAAACTAGTGAATAGTGGGATTGGGAGTTTAAGCCATGAATATCCGCATCACTGTTTGATTGACTGAACTTCATACTTTGAAATTATTTTAATTTGATGATGCAAGTGACCTCTGTCTGTCAGGGCTTAGTTCCTCAACAAACCTGGCAGAAACTGGAGGCTGACGACCCGGCAGGACATGGGGACTGTGCCAGCAAGGATTCCCAAATGACTGAAGAAGGAAGATGGAGGAAGGCGGTATTAAGTGTTTATCTCTGGGATCGATGTCCTGCCCTGGATCAAACCCGGCTCCATGCACGGTGCACCAGCCGAGTGGCGCTGGGCTGCTTCCCCGCTATCTCCACGTCTCCTTTTTCCGTCTGCAAGGGAGGAGAGTAACAGTGACTCCTCTCACAGGGCGATGATGATGTGCAGATGAGATAACACGGGCCAAGACTAGACAATAACTGTCACCAGTTGTTAATGCCATGATTAAGGAATGAGGGGCTGGTTTAACCCTGAGCTTGTTGGAAAAAGCAGCGGAAAGACAGCTCCTGACCTAGGACTGTTTGTCTGCCTGGGGTGGGTTCTTCTGGCCCCTGGAGGCACGTGGGAGGTGCTGTTCTGCTGCATTTCTCCCTCTGTGAAATGGAGAGAGTCTTCATTTATTCAGCAAACTTTTACTCTGTGATAGATCAGGCCTGTGTACCCAGAATAAGAAATGGTCCTGGCTCTCAGCTGGGTCCTTTGCCTGCAGGGGCAGAAAGTCAGAGTGGGCAGGGGTCAGGGCAAGATGGTCAAGCCAGTAAGGTTAGAGCATGAAAGACCCTCCTGGGGGTCGGGATATGTCAGAGGACCTGGAGTTTTTATACAAATGTGAGCTGTTGACAGATTGTGGTCACCTCAGTGGGAGGAGCAGTAACATCTTCTGTTAATGTCCCCCACATGCCTCCCCACCCAGACACCTGCTGGTCCAAAATCTAAGACAGGAGAAGCTTAAGGAAGTGAGGACATGAGTTAAAATGTTAGGGAGAACTGTTCTCACCTGCCCAGCTGCCCCACCCTGACTGTGTCCCAGAGAGACGTGCTGCTTTCATTGTCCTATGATGGTCAGCAGGACGGCATCTCATCAAGCCCATCTGGCAGAAGAGGAAATGGACACAGGGCCTGGACCAGGAGACCTTGGCAGGCTTTTACTCTTGAGCAGAACTTAGGCCTTGGTCAATACAGTGGGCTCAATTCATGAGAGAGAGATGGAAAAGCAGAAACTGAACATCTTGCCCCAGATCATGCAGCCTGTGAGGAGTAGACACCACGATTCCAGACTCCGGGCCAGCTCTCTTGCCATGGAGGGAGCAATGCGGGGATCCTTCTCCTGAATGGGCTCCCCTGGACTGTGTTCTGTCCATGTGTGGAATCTGGTGTGTCTGCTGATGCCTTCCATGTGTGAGGGCAGCCTGCGGGCAGTGCCGGATGACCTGATCCTGTGGACATTCTCTTCCATCTTCCTCCTCACCCCACCCCTGCAATCCAGATGCAGAGAAATTCGGAACACTTGTGGCTTCTGAGGAGCATTAAATTCTGGGAACCTAAATTCATGACAATAGTGACTACAGCTTCATGAGAAGCATATCATCATGGGGTGTCAGGGGCCTGTGAGGGCCCCCTCAGTTTGAGGTTGGATCCTTAGCATTGAGCTAATGTACAACAGCATTCTTGAAGCTGGACTTGAGATTGAGCATGACAGGTGGGTTGGGTCATGACATCACGAAATCCCAACAAAATCCATGTTAGAGTTATCTAGATAAACAGAGATAATGGGAGAGGATAGAGAGGAAGGTAGAGATTTTTTTTAAGGAGTTGGCTCATGCGATTATAGGGTTGGTGCATCTGTAATCTGCAGGTTAGGCCGGCACACGGAGGCCCAGGGAAGAATTGATGTTGCCTCTCAAGTCCCAAGGCCATCTGGAGGTGGACCCTTCCCAGCCATTGTCCTCACTTCATAGCAGATACCTTGTGAGGTTGGGAATTCAGGTTGTACTGAACCGCAGGATGAGATCCTGGGTTTGGTTTTCAGCCATCTCCGCTCTGCGCCTGTAGGACACAGGGTCTCTTTCAAGGCAGACGTAGAAACTTTGGGGTCACTTATGTGCCGCCTGAGCTGGGAAGTTGAATCCCTGGGCTCATTCTTTTCTTTTCCCCGCTTTGTTTGGCACAATTAGGAGCAACCGAGGGATCTCATTATACTTGTTAATTTGACAGAAATGTTCCATGGTATCAAATACATAGTCACGTTGAACCTGGCCTTGAAGAAGTATTTGGGCGTGTCTGCCCATTCGTGCACCTGTCTTGTTGGGCCTAGGGATAGCAGTGCTCTCTTTGCTACTGGAACTAGGATGATTGGTGCCTTTAAATCCAATCAGATTTGAGAATCAATTCTAAAAACCTCGGAACGAATTCAGAAAACTCATCCTTAAGATTTTGTTCCTCTAGACCCACCCCATAGTGTGGGCCCCTGGCTGTGAGGCTCTGGCACGGTTCTGTGTAAGGAGAGGGAGAGAGCTGAGTGTGAGTGAGCGTGTGTCCGACTGTCCATCCTGCTTGGTTTTCCTTCTGCTTTCGTGGCGACATATGGAGTGACAGATACCTGGTTTCTCTTTTATTCCGCCTTTGGATTTATCCTCCTGCTCCTTGTTCATGGGAAATGACTAACTGTCAGAGCTGGGAGCTGTCATGCGTTTCTGAACCCCAGCGTCCCATTTATTCCCATTTATTCTCCGTGAATGCACTCAGGCCCCAGGCTGGCTATGAATAAATACCAGGCCCGAGTCCCCTGCGGTTCCTGGCCTGGAGAATCTGTTCCTGGCCTGGAGAGTAGGCTAAAGGCTGCCTCGGGGTCACACCCTTCAGTTCAGACTTTCCCGGAGAAGAAAATCCTGACGAGCAGTGGACCTGGATGGCCGAGAGAGCGTCAACAGGGTTTTTAGAGGAGTGCAGAAAGGCCAATTAAACCCATTCCATGGTTTGTTATTATTAATGGTAATTATTTCTGGCATGCAATTCAGTGGTATCTGTGGCCTGACCAAGCTCCCAAGCTCATCTGCAGCTCCCTGGTGTGCAGTGTTTATGGATGGGGAGGAGACCCCTGGGTGGGGGGCTCCCAGCCACTGTGCTGGGATGAGGAGGCCCCTCCTGTGGATCCACAGTCTCTTGGAGGCAGAGGGTTTATCTCCTGTGTTGCCTTTTGGGGGTAAAGAAAGAAATGAAACCAAAACACAGTCAGGATCTCCAAATCCCTCAGGGAATTTGAGCACAGCGGAGCAGAAATGAGCTGCCAGATGCCTCTGTCCTCCAAGTACCCACCTCTCCTGCCCCCGCAGTCTTTGTGTTAGCCTGGCCCTAGTCCAGGAGTCCTCCCTTGGCTTTAGTTTAAGAGGCAGGCTCTGGTCAGCAGTGGTCTCAGAAGCTCCAGAGGCTGAAGGCCAAGTTCATTGTCTTGGGGAGAGCTGCATTATCCTGGACGGAGGGGACTCCATCCAGCCCAGCTTGAGTCCTTCTTCCCAGAGATTGATGAGCTCACAGGCAGCAGAGTTCACCCCTGTGGTTTTGGGGCCATTTCTTATGAATAAGCCCCTCCTGATTCTTGTTTCCAGGGTGGGACAGGGCAGTTGAGTCAGGGAAAGGACGAATGGTAGCAAGTTACGGGAAACTCGGGGAATGGTTACGTTTGTCCAGGAGTATCAGGCACCATCCAGCCATTCTTTTGCTCTTGTACCTCTACTCTTACGCATTTTTTCATGTGGACAAAACCAGGAAACCTTTAGGGTTGCAGATCCTTTGTTTTCCTGTGGCATGTACAGATCTCACCTTTTGCTCTGGCAGTGGCCAGCGGGACCTGTGGACTGGGTGGGTCAGGAGAGTTAGAGCCTCAGCTCCTGTGAGAGCTGTGGGCTGCAGCTGGCCATTTGCATTCATTAAGGCCCCTGGCAGCAGCCATGGCCTTCTCAGTATGCAGTGTTTTTCCACTTTGGGTGAGCTGGGGCTGTTTGTGTAGCCACCCAGCTGGCTCAGGGCACCAGCTTCTGCCTGTGGGGCTCAGAGTAGGTTAGGAGCCCAGGGGACCCTTGCAGGCCTTCTGAGCATTGGCCCTTTTCTTCTCTGGGGCTTCCTTCTGGGTGAGGCTCCCCCTAGGTTAGGAGCTCTGCCTCCTGCTTGGGGGGTTGTCAGGGGTGTTGTCACCGATTGGGGAGTGAGCATGACCTCCAGCACTCCCTAGCTGAACAGCCAGTCCTTTGTGAAATTCCTGAGGCAGGAGGGGGGAGCTTACAGAGACAGCTCTCAGAGTGGCCTGCAGAGAAGAGGGTGTTGTGGTGTATTATCTGGTGATAAGGCCTTGGAGAAGGCTGTGGAGGGGAAGGAAAAAGCATTCCTGACTTTGATGTGTTTGGCCTTGAGGCTTGTGTTTGCAGAAGAGGGAAGCTTAGCTGGAACATTGTGGGGAGGAGGTGACGGGAGGTGAATTCAGCTGACCTGTGATCAAATTCCAGCTAGAGATGCCTTTAATTAATAAAATATTAGACCATTTAATCGATTCAACACACATTTATTTATTTATCTGCCTACTATGTGCAGACAGATAAAGTATATTCCCTATGTCTCCATCAAGTGGGGCATCAAAAAATGCAAAACTCGGTAACTAGGAGAGGGGAAGATGTGATTCTCATGGTCGGTGTTGCCCCCGTTGAGTTGTGGATGATGTTAAAGAGGAGATTGGATCCTTCGGTGAGGAAATTTACACCCTTGAAGGCAGAGGGCTCCTTTGGAGGATTTCATGGAAGAGAATGGCAAGGAAAGATTATGTTTTGGGATGGTCACTCTGGAAGTGTCCTGGAGAGTGAGAGGAGGCAGAGAAAACATTTTCAAAAACAAACAAGTCTGGCTCGGCGCCTGTGGCTCAACCAGCTAAGGCGCCAGCCACGTACACCTAAGGTGGCGGGTTCGAATCCCCAGCCTGGACCCGCCAAACAACAATGACGGCTGCAACCAAAAAATAGCCGGGCGTTGTGGCGGGCGCCTGTGGTCCCAGCTACTTGGGAGGCTGAGGCAGGAGACTCGCTTGAGCCCAGGAGTTGGAGGTTGCTGTGAGCTGTAATGCCACGACACTCTACCCAGGGGGACAGCTTGAGGCTCTGTCTCAAAAAAAAAAAAAAAACAAAAAAAAAAAACAAACAAGTCTAAAGTCTAATTGGAAGACACAGTTGGAATGATCTGGGGAGAAATGGTGAGGGCCTGATTTAAGGCAAGATGGCATTTAAGTCACTAAAGCACTGGCATCCAGTGGATATCAATGATTCCCAACTTCCTGGCTTATACCTGAGTAGACGGAGAAGAGGACAGGGTTTGGGTTTCAGGGAGGTGACATTCTTTCTTGGATGCTATAGTTGTTAAGTTAGGCTGGACTTTTGGAAACACCTCTCAGAAGTCTATCTGTGTGATGTCTGCTTCTCGCTCTGAGAAGGTCCCTGTGAATCCGGTGGCTGTCAAGGGCAGCACCCGCCTCCAGGTGGTGACTCAGGGATCCAGCCTGACTCTTGGGCAGATCTGAAGGGCTGAGGATTTGCTCTCAAATACTTGAACCTGGTGACATCCTGTGTGGCTTCTAGCTAGAGCAGGATACTGTGAGGGGTTTGTGGTTAAGTGTGGGGTACCATGGATCACTCCAATAGAGGCCACATGGCACGTGGTGCTGGGTGCTTGGATGCTGTCTGGGCCAGAGATTGGTAATAAATAGAGTTGGGAATGAACAGAATGAATGAACAGCACAGGAAGGGGAAGCCTTCAGGAGGCTTGGGCTTCCCAGGGAGGGTACATCGAGTCCGAAGAGCAGGGGCCAAAGGTGAAATCTTTGGGAGCACCCATTCCTGGGTGACCAGCTGGCTGAGGTACTGGGTCTCCCCAAGCATCACCTGAGAGACAAGGCTGACATCTTTAACCTTCAGTGGGCTGGTGAGAATCCTGGGAGTCGGGTAGGTGGTGGCTCCCTAGAAGGGTGGTTTCCTTCCTTCTTCTAGACTGAGTCTTGCATGTTCTGTTTCTCAGGAACCGTTGTGTATGGCGAGCCCATCACCGCCAGCTTGGGAACCGATGGCTCCCACTACTGGAGCAAGAACTGGGCCAAGGCCGCGGCCTTCGTCACCTCGCCACCCTTGAGCCCTGATCCGACCACTCCAGACTTTCTCAACTCCTTGCTGTCCTGGTGAGTCCTGGTGACTTGTTCACACGTGGTGTTCCTGGTCTTTTCTCAGGCCAAACTGACCTGGATGTGACAGTGTGCTGGCCAAGAGCAGGCTGGCGACAGGTGGACCTCTTACCAGACTGGGATTGCTAGCCGAGAATAGGGATTACCCCTCTGAGACCACTCTGAGAGGGAAGTGTGGCCAGAAACCAGGGCCTCTTCACAGCCAGCTGCCGGAAATGTGCATGGTGTCCAAAGGTCTCCTGTGTGGTTGGCGCGGTTCCCCCAGGGTAGACCTCACCAAGTAGGTTTAGGCGCAGGGCATTCTAACGAAGCTTCAGTGTCGCCTCATGTGCTTCCTTCTAGTGGAGACCTCCAGGTCACTGGCAGCGCCCACTGTACTTTCAACACTGCCCAGAAGGCTGTGGGGAAGGACAACTTCACCCTGATCCCCGAGGGCACCAATGGCACCGAGGAGCGGATGTCCATCATCTGGGATAAGGCCGTGGTAAGGAGCAGGGGCCTCGCTCTTGGGTGGGTCCCAGCTTCTTTGTCCCAGGGCTGGGAGACTCCTAGAGGCCTTGATGTGACAGTGGAGAACATTCTAGAAGCCGGTACTTGTGTGATAAGACTTCATAGGTTTGACATCCAAGACCACTCATTATAGGTCATTTCCTCCTAAACATTATGTGTATTTCTTAATCATTATCATCTATGGAAACTGTATACACAGTCTTTACATGTGAGTCTGGAAAAAGCTTCCTTAGCAACCCGGTAACTTACCCAGTGAATCCTCTTCTGCTCTTGGAAATAGACTCATTTTCAAGAAGCGTTGTTTAGGGCTGTCTGGATTTATTTGATATTACTATTCACCACTGGCTTCTGGCCGGTCTGCTTTGAATGTATACTGACCTTTAGGAGACCCTTGGGATTTTTCATCTGAATTTTTTTTTTTTTTTTTTTTTTAGAGACAGAGTTTCACTTTATTGCCCTTGGTAGAATGCCGTGGCATCACAGGTCACAGCAACCTCCAGCTTTTGGGCTTAGGCGATTCTCTTGCCTCAGCCTCCCAAGTAGCTGGGACTACAGGCGCCTACCACTATGCCTGGCTATTTTTTTGTTGCAGTTTGACCGGGTCCAGGTTTGAACCCACCACCCTTGGTATATGGGGCCAGTGCCCTACTCACTGAGCCACAGGCCCCACCCTCATCTGAACATTTTAAAATATATTAACAGTATAGGTTCTTCATTTCTTAGTGAAATTTTTAGATTATGTAAATAATATATCCCGCCCAGGGGCAGTGGCCCTCTTCTGTAATGCCAGTACTTTGGGAGGCTGGACAGGAGGATCATTTGAGTCCAGGAGTTTAAGACCCTGTCTTGAACTTGCAACCCAGCAAGACCCCATCTCCACAGAAAATTAAAAAAGTAGCCAGGTGTGATGGCAATCATCTGTAGTCCCAATTACTTGGGAGGCTGAGGTGGGAGAATCACTTGGGTCCAGGAGTTTGAGCCTGCAGTGAGCTATGATTTTGGCACTGCACTCTAGCCTGGGTTACACAGTGAGGCCCTAAATCAAAAAACAAAAAACAAAAAACAAAAAACAAAAAACTACACACACACATAGACACAGATATACACACAATGTCCATAAATTTCACGTGCAATTTTAAGTTGGATACTACTTTAAATTGTACCTGAACTTTATGGACACCCATATTCGTGCTTTTCCAAAGAATAAGGAAGTAATAAAAAATCATGATGTTTCATTTGTAATTATAATTAACATTCTGACAAAGGTCTTTCCATTTTTTGCCACTACATGAGAGCACGTGTGTCATACTTACTATTTTGTAGCTTTTCATTTGAAACTTAATATATTGTGAAAAAGTTTTCGCATCTTTAAATATATTTGAAAAACTTGGTTTTTAGTAGCAGACTGTTCCATCTTCATGCCACACTGTCATTTATTTATAATCCTTTGAGCATTTATGTTATTTCTGAGTTTTTTTTTTAAACTGGGATATATCATTGAACATATCTTTAGTTGTGTTTGTAGGAGAAATTTCTAGAAATGGCTGGGTCAAGGGGTGTGTCTATTATTAAGGCTTTTGTCAGAGTTTCTTCCAGAAAGATTATGTCACTTGATGTGCCACCAGCAATGGAGGATAGTCTCTAATTTTTTCTACCCAGTAGCAAAAACCCCCAAAGTGTTGCTGACTTGATAGGTGGATTTTTTTGGTATCATTGTTTGACATTTAATGTTTTGAGTTACTGATTTGAGTGAATATGTTTTCCTATGCTTATTGGCCATTGGTATTCTCTTCTCCCTTTTTTTTTTAATTTTATTTTTTAATTTTATTTATTTTTTTTATTAATCATCGCTGTGTACATTAATGCAGTCCTGGGGTACAATGTGCTGGTTTTATATACAATTTGAAATATTTTCATCAAACTGGTTCACATAGCCTTCATGGTATTTTCTTAGTTATTGTGTTAAGACATTTATGTTCTACATTCAGTAAGTTTCACAGGTACCCTTGTAAGATGCACTGTAGGTGTGGTCCCACCAATCACCCTCCCTCCACCCATCTTCCTCCCTCCCTCTCCCCTTTCCCCATATTCTTGGGCTATAATTGGGTTATAGCTTTCATCTTTTCCCCTTTAATGTCAGCTTATTTGTCCAGTTTTCTCCTGGATCTAGAATGGGTTTAGGAAGGCAAGGACTTGGGGCCATATGACTGGCACCTGCAGCATACCATGGGAAGGAAGCCTGACCCTGGGCTGAAACCTGCAGGTTGTCTAGCACTGCACCTGTGTTTTGTTGAAAAGGATGGTCAGTTAGGCCAGACGACATTTCCTAAAGAGGCATTGTGGCCCCTGCACATTTAAAAACGTGTTTTCATTTTGAAATAATTGTAGGTTGAGAGTAAGTCACAAAGATAATACAGAAGGAGAGAGAGAGACAAAGAGGAGAGGTCCAGGGCGGCCTTCACGAGCTCCCCCTGTGGTTACATCTTCCGTAGTTTGATGCCGTATTGAATGCAGAGCACTGACAGTGGGGCAGCGCATGTAGCTCCGGGCCATCTTGTTACGTGTGGATTCATGTTACCATGGCTGTAATCAAGATGCCAGTCTAGTCCCTCGCCACCGAGTCCTCCCTCATTCTCTTTTATCACCACCACCCTCCCCCTACCTAGTCCCTGGGGGAATTCATCTAGGCCCTTGTCTTTCCTCCATCTCTACAGTTTTGTTATTTGGAGAATGTTTCGGAAATGGAATTATACAGCATGTAATCTTTGAGATTGCTTTTTTCCCCCACTTGGCGTAGTGCCCTGGCCATCCAAGTTGCCGAATGTATCAATCGTTTTTTTCCCCTTTTATTGCAAAGTAACATTCTGCCCTTCAACTGTGACCCACTTCTGCTGTGTGTCTGTGTGCCGCGCCCCTCAGGTCACTGGGAAGATGGATGAGAACCAGTTTGTGGCCGTGACCAGCACCAACGCAGCGAAAGTCTTCAATCTTTACCCCCGGAAAGGCCGCATTGCCGTGGGATCTGATGCCGACCTGGTCATCTGGGACCCTGATAGCGTTAAAACCATCTCTGCCAAGACACACAACAGTGTAAGGCTCGATAACAGACCCGATCTGGTCGCAGAAGGAGGCAGAAAAAGGCAGAGTCTCAACCGTGATAGGAAAAATAACTCAACCGTGATAGGAATGGACATTGTAGCATGTGCTACAAATTGCAAATCGCTAAGGGGAAAGAATAGCTATTTTATCTTATTTAGTGGGGTCAGTAAAAACTGTTCTCACATGAGCATTACCGGGGCTTCTCCAGAGTGGTGCCAGGACACCAGAAGCTTCTAGAAGTCAGGCACCATTCCACTTGCATACTTTGGTATAGCCCCAGTCAGACCAGTGCTTGGTACATGAGAACTAAGTGAGACATCAAATGTCCTCTCATTTTATTCTTTTAAAATAAAATGAGCCCTTTTATTCTCTTGAGCCCTTGTCCTCTCAAGTAGGGTTGCTTACAACACCTGGATGGCGGTCCCTCTTACTGTCCTGACAGACATGATCCGCTTTGGCTTCTCTGAGGACAAGGAGTTACCCACAGCCATTCGATCACAGTTTTAGGATCTGCGGGCTTGGGTGTCTTGTGCCTCTGGGTCTGCCCTGTGGGGCTGAGGGATTATCTCTCTTGTTAATGTGACTCTGGGCACAAGACTTTATGTCTTAGATGCCTCAGCTGAGAGTGAGGGTTCAGATGAGGTCCCCAAGGGTCCTGTGGTCCAGTTTGATTTAACAGAGCTTTTGCACCCCATGTGGATTCTTCACAGACAAAATGGTGGAGGGACAAGATGGAGGGAGCACAGATAAGGGAGCCTGATCCCTATTGGAAAAGAAATGGGCCTCAGGCAGAAGCGTTTTGCATCAGGAACTCATTTGAATCTTGGAGTGAATTTGTTTTTTCTTTTTTAATTTCAGATTAATATGAGGATGCATACGATTAGGTTATATAGTTTACAATTCTTAGATTAAAGCCTGAGTTGTAGCTGTGTCCTTCACCCCGGGAGAGTGCCATATACTCATTCGGAGTATTCCTAATGGAGAGATTATTCTTTGTGAAGCTCTAAATTGCAGGCTGGCTCAATAGAGAACATAGTACTGAGCCCTCCGCCCCACGCCGCAACCCCGTGATGGGGGTGTCTTCTGGCATTTCCCTGTCCTCTCTCATTTGGAGAGGGGTTGGAGCTGCAGTGAGCTCGGGCCCAGGCTGGCTTATGCTGGCACCTGTGGGTGCCAGGATGGGGGTGGGTGCTTCTCAGAAGGCTGCTCACTTCCCTGGGTCTAGCTGACTGTCCCTCCTTCTCTGCTGGCAGGCTCAGCCTGCAGCATGGCCTCCTTCTCACAGCTCAGATCACAACCCCTTGGGGGTTCCGACTGACCTGCCCAGCAGACCTACCTAATTCTTTTTTTTTTTTTTTTTTTTTTTTTTTGCAGTTTTTTGCTGGGGCTGGGTTTGAACCTACCACCTCCAGTATATGGGCCTGGTGCTTTACTCCTTGAGCCACAGGCACCACCCCTGACCTACCTAATTCATATGCATTTAATGTCACCCGGCCATTTACTCTTTTATTTGACCTTCTCAATAAAGGGACTGGTATTATCCCAGTTGGGCAGATAAATGCACGGAGGCTTAGCGAGCTTAAGTGACCAGTCTAACGTTACATAGCGATTTTGCGGTCAACCCAGAATTAGAACCTGAAATTGTTCAGAGCTCTTCCCTGCCAGCCTGCAGCAACTTGGCCAGGGCTGGGTGGAGAAAACGCTTCCCCTCCCTTGCAAGCATCCCTTCCCCCAGAGGAAATATCAAGGGCAGACTGGGCCCCTTATTTGAGATGCATGTGGCTTAGCCAGGGACCTCGCCTTTGGAACTCTTAAGAAAAAGAGAGGATGAGAAGGAGTGAAGTATTGAGAAGGGAGGTTCTGCCTTCTAGACCTTTCCACCCAAACCTGCCCTGCCTTTAACTCCAGGTGACCCATGTAAGAAATGTTGGCTTTCAAAAGCCAAATGTTGGCTTTTTGTCCTTACCTATTTCAAAGAGCGCACACTACAGGCTTGTGCGTGAATCACCTGGGAAGACACGAATAGGAGACTTTCCCCATGTAATGTGGTGTTTCCTGCTAATTGGCTGTAATTTGGAGCATCTAGCTAACTATTATTGACAGCCTTGCTGCTAAGCCTCTGCTGGACTTTGCAGGCATCTGGCCAGATGAGTCATCTTAGGAGTCCATGCAGATGTAGGTTAAAAATGTTTCTATGTGGTGAGCCACCAAGCTTCCCACCTCATGGTCTGATGGAGGGCAGACTTGGAGTACCCCGAGCTGTGATCTGACCCTTGGACTTCTCAATTTTAAATCACTCAAGAGCCCCGCAGCTCTTCTGGGTGTGTGTTCACGGGCAGCTCAGCTGAGTTTGTGCATGGTGAGCTGTCTCAGACACGGCAGGCTTTGCAATCTTGTTGTCAAAGTGCATTAAAAGCCAGACTGTCTGCTCAGCACCTGTGGCTCAAGTGGCTAAGGCGCCAGCCACATACACCTGAGCTGGCAGGTTGGAATCCAGCCTGGGCCCGCCAAACAACAATGACGGCTGTAACCAAAAAAAGCCCGACAGTGACTGAGTGACTGTTTCTAAATGCCCACTGTGTGCTGTGTAGCATGCTAGAAGCTTTTGTTTGTTTTATTTCATTGATCCTAGCATCAGTCCTGCCAAGTGAGCCCTACTTATCTTCTTATGATGAGGAAACTGTGGCTCAGAGGAGTGGAAGGGACTTGTCCAGGGACATCCAGCTGGTGAATTGCAGACCTGGGATGTGAGCCCAGGGCAGAAGGCTCCATGGCCAAGGCCGTGGCCATTGCTCTGCCTCATAGGGCACGAGAGGAGGTTGTCAGAGCATAGCCATGGAGTAATGTGGAAGAGACGGGCTCCAGCCAGGCCTCATAGCAGGCATCCTCAAACTAGAGCCCGCGGGCCACATGCAGCCCGCCTAGGACATTTATCCAGCCCACCAGGTGTTTTTGCTGCCGCTGCCTGTCCTGCTTAGCAGCCAACTCGTCCCGGGGCCTGCAGTCTGGCCCTCCAACGGTCTGAGGGACAGTGAACTGGCCCCCTGTTTAAAAAGTTTGAGGACCCCTGCCTTATAGGATACCTCACACCCTTCCAAAGGGTATTGCAGAGATGATCGGGGATGACACTTTTTCTGATGTCACCTTCACACAAGCCTCAGGAGGGTGGAAGATGAAGAAACCAAAACTCTGAGACAAGAGTAAAGTGATCGGCCCAGAGTCCCTGAGCTTCCGGATTTTATCACACCTGAGCCGCCTTCGGGTTTAAGATAGATCTGCCCTTAGATCTTATGCTGCTATGAAAGAAACCACAGCCAAGGTGAGGAGTCTCATGGGAGACTCCCATCAAAATGTGGTGGCCACCAAGAGCCAGTGGGAAGGGAATCTCCGGCAGGAAATCTTGAGTGCCTCAGCTTTGGCTGTGGGTGCTGGGAGGGAAAAATGTAAGACTTGGGCGCTCCATCCCCGCTGTGTCGGGAATCCATGCTGGAGTCTCCCTCTTCCCTGCCCCCCGGGGCCTCTCTGCCTTGCTCCTTGGGTAGCTCCCACATTACTGGGGAACAGTGTGCTGACAGCTCCCGCTGCTGTTTTCGCTTGACGTTGGATCGTGGGCATGTCTGCATTTCCATGCTGAGTAGGTGCTGACAAGCTGGCTGCAGCCGCTGTGTGCTGCCCCCACTGCACTAAGCAGGCGTCTTCCTGACCCTCGGGGCACAGCTCTGCTCAGAGCCAGCTCCCTGAGAGCTGAGAACCTGCTCTCAACTGTACCAGAAGCCCAAGCTGCTTTTCATGGCTGGAGCTGCCTGTGTATCCTCAGGCCCTGGGCTCAGCCTCCAGCCGCTGGTGTTGGGAATGGAATAGGCAGGGAGAAGCAGGAGGCACTCGGGATGTGGGTGACCACGGCTGCAAGAGGTGACTCTGACACGTGGGGTCTTTACTGTCAGGGTATGATGCCCACTCTTATCTGTCACCTTATTCCGCTGAAACTTATATAGGAAACCTACCTATTTCCCAAGAGGGCGTTTGGATTGGTTCCTGTTTCACCAGGAATATTTGAAACCAGGATAGCTGCATTGTTCTGGAAATTAACCAACCCTCAGACATTTTAAAAGAGGCATCTCTCTTCAGAGACCCCAGTTTCCTTCATAGCGACTTTGGTTTAGCCACACTGCTACACCTTGCAAAACCAGGCAAGCCAGAGGGAGAACCTACTTGTGCCCCATTTCAAGGTTAAATTAGAACTTGGTCAGGGAAGGCTTTTGGAATTCAATCTGCATGGAGTTGGAATTGGTGGGAACGTTCGTCCCTTCTAATGGGACAAACGTTTTATTTATATTTGCACAGCATTTATACACACTGTGCATGCAATTATTCTGTTCAGTTATTTTTCTTCTGAAATTGGAAAGGTAGAAAATGTAATTTCATGTTAAGATACGGAGATTCAGTGCCTGTTGGGGTGGCTGGCCAGGACAGGAACCACGTCTCCTGGGCCTCTTTTGTCCACAGGAGGTTGGGCAGTGGGTGCATCCAGGCTGCTGAGGTCCATCGAGGTGGCAGGGCCTCTTTTGAGTTTACTGTGCTCTCTTCCTCCAGTCTCTTGAGTACAACATCTTCGAAGGCATGGAGTGCCGTGGCTCTCCACTGGTGGTCATTAGCCAGGGGAAGATTGTCCTGGAGGATGGCACCCTGCATGTCACCGAAGGCTCTGGGCGCTACATCCCCCGGAAACCCTTCCCTGATTTTGTTTATAAGCGTATCAAGGCAAGGAGCAGGGTGAGTGGTTTTGTTCCTATGAATTGTTTTCTAAATCATGGATTAAGTTCAAGGCCGCAAACATTTATTGAGCACCCTGAATCAAAATATTGAGATGAATACAGAGGATTATAGGGATAAGAGGAATCTGATCTTTTTATTCCTGGAACTTAAAATATTTGAGGAGGAGGAGTCAGGGGTGTCCACAGCCAGCCTGAGCAAAGTGTTGTGATGAGGAGTTTTGGGTGAGGGCCCAGAGGATGGAACCACTGCTGCAGATTAGTGAGGGAAGGGCCATGGGGAGAGGGGATTTTGAGTTGGGTTTTGAAGATTAAGTAGGAGTTCGTCAAGTCAAAGAAAGGAGATGAGGAACTGGGTGGAGAGAATGTCACAAGCAGAGAAAATGTACCATATATTCAGGGTGTGGTGAACCGCCCACATCCCTGATGTGGGGACTGTATGGCAGGGAAGGGATGGAGCTATAAGGGAATTAAAAGGAGATTAAAAGGTAAGTTTGGGACCAGATCTTAAACCCCACACCAGATCCTCCTCATGGTGTGTTTAGGGGAGTCTTACAGGGCCTAAAGATGAAGTTCCTTTGGAGAAAAATGGTAAGAAATGCTAGTTTTTGTAGGGCAATCAATTACCAGTGACCCATCTTGTGGGGAGCTTGGCCTAGAGTTGGGTCCTTGGGTTCTTCCTCTTTGGGAGGGCTGCTTGGGAGGTGTCCTCTGTGACTCTGGCCTGAGTCCGGCAGCTCTTGTGTTTTGCAGCTGGCGGAGCTGAGAGGCGTTCCTCGTGGCCTGTACGACGGACCTGTGTGTGAGGTGTCTGTGACGCCCAAGACAGTCACTCCAGCCTCCTCAGCTAAGACGTCTCCTGCCAAGCAGCAGGCCCCACCTGTCCGGAACCTGCACCAGTCTGGATTCAGCTTGTCTGGTAAGTTCACAGCTTGGGGAGGGCCTAGTCCTGTGGGGCCAGCCAGCCTGTGGCTACATTTGAAAAAGAGGTCAGAGATGGAAATAAGCGACATTCTCAATCTTCCCGAGGTGGGAAATACAGTGTACTGATAACGCAGAGATGTGTTTTCATAGGAAATGACCAGTTAAGTTTCAGAATCTTTTTTTTTAAAATTTCATATTATTAGAGGGTACATGTTTTATTTACATACTTTCTGTACAGATTGAGTCAAAGTTAAAAGTGTGCCTTGGACTTGATAGGTGTGAATTTACCTGTTCCCTCGTGCCCAGCCCAGAATCTTGGTAGTAGTTTATATCACATGTAACGCTACAAGGCCCCCACTATGTGTAATGTCTCGTATGTTAAGAGGACATTTTTCAGTTGATGTCCACTGTGAGGACACAGTGCTATTTCAGCACTTCTGTTCTCCCCTTCAGTGTGTTGTAGTAGTTCAGCGTGTAGAGTCTGGGGCCCATCTTGGGAACTCAGCCTGAGCTGTGCCTCAGTCTCCTCACCTGTGAAATGGACAATATTTCATAGAAGTGGCTCCCTCCTGGGGTTGTTCGTGAGGACTAAATGAGTTCATACTCGGGTGAAGTGCTTAGAACTGGCCATCTGAAAACCGTGAGCTATTCGCCTGGATAAAATGTGTAATGTCCCCTTGGTTAGGAAAGGGTCCTCAATATAGAGTTTTCTTCCCTTATCCCATCCGGCCTGGGAATGGAATTCCCACTTCCAGAGACAGGTAGCTACCCAGATTCCCGTGGTATGTTAAAGAAACAGTTAGTCAGACAATTTTTCGTTTTCCTTGTCAGGTGTTCTGGTTTTTAGAAAGTTACCATGAGGGTCATACATGAATGACCGATTTTCAAAAAATTAAAAAAGTAATGAACTTTAGTTTTGCCGTTAAGTAAGATGGGCACGATCCCGTCTGTGCTATCTGGTCTCACCAGGCCATTCGGATATAAGGTACAGTTGTTAGCCCTTCTTGCGATTATCATGTAGGTTTAAGGACATAGAACACCCGAGAGGAGGGGATGGGGCCAAAGAAAAGCCACGTGGGAACACTGAACGCGTGGCGTCCCCGACGGAGGGGCGTTTTCTACATAGTCTCGGTTTCTCTAGTATAGATCCAGTTGGCTTCCACAGGTACAGGCTGATTCTTTGGCCCACCTTGGCTCCATGTCCTTTTTGTAGTTTGAATTTTCTATGAGGTTTAGAGGGAAGGACAGAAATTGTGGCTGGTACGTTTCCTCCCACGCTGCGTGATTAAGACTTGAAGCTGGAACTCTGTGACACTGGCGCGGCAGTCCCTTACCCTCTGTCCTGTCCTCTCTCTCTCCAGGCGCTCAGATCGATGACAACATTCCCCGCCGCACCACCCAGCGCATCGTGGCTCCCCCTGGTGGCCGTGCCAACATCACCAGCCTGGGCTAGAGCTTCCTGCCTCGCCCTGCACTTGGGGATGGGGGATGGGACACCTGAGGACATTCTGAGACTTCCTTCCTTCCTTTTTTTTTTTGTTTAAGAGCCTGTGATAGTTACTGTGGGGCAACCAGTTCACGGGGACCCCCTCTTTGGGCCCCGCACTCCGTCTCTCACCGAGAGTTACTGATTTTGCTCCCCCACTTCCCTCCACATCTACGAATATCACACCCCAGTCTGTCCACCAAGCTCACACACGGAACTGCATCCAACACTCAGACATGCGAAACAGAGAAAATCACGAGGGTGTTCTTCATCTCGAGCCTCCGTCGTGCTCCTTAGTTTCTTCCTTTTCGTGGGTGGGGAAGATGAAGTGAATTGCCCAGAGCTGCCTTTTTCTTTTCTTTTTAAATTTTTTTAAAAGAGTTTTCTTCGTGGGGCTGGGGAGGGGTTCAGGGGGGTGGGGTGGGGGAGATTCTTTTTTAATACTAAATTGGAAAATCTAATTCATTATTAATACAAGGGGTTTGAACTGGACATCCTAATGATGCAATTATGTAACCGTCAAGCTGATTCAGGATGGTTGGCAAGCTCGCGTCCATCCTGAGAGGCTCCAAAACGTCCACATAATAGCCATTCCATAGCCTTCTGGGTCAACTGTTGATAAAGGGCAGGCTTGCTTTTTTGTCCTAGATTTTTGTTGCAAATTAAATCTTTTGAGGTGAAATCTCTTCACCATTTTTCTGCTCTTTCTCTCTTTTTCTTTAGCTCATGAATATTTTCAACTGTCTCTCTCTCTCTTTGTGTCTTCTCCGGCCCTTGTCTCCGAGACAGTGTTTTTTCCCACCTTCCTCTCTTGTCTTTTCAGATTGCCAGGTCTGCCATTTGGATGTGGCCATAGGACCCACCCGAGGCATTTGAGTGTTGCTTTTGCAACCATAGTCATGTGTTGTCCTAGCCTGTGTAAGACTGGTGCTACCCACCCCATCTCTAGATGTGTGTCAGAGGTGGAGACTCTTGCCAGGTGCAGGGATGGACTGAGCCGTGTCACCCATGGTATCACGCGTGGGCCCGGCATGGACCCCAAAACAGTGCTGAGAAGTCAAAGAAGTCTGAGGCTGAGGAACAGGGGAGTTTCTCTTCTGTGCGGTGCTGGCTGGCTAAAGACACAGTCAAACCTGTAAATCGAGCCCTGTTTGCCCAAGCGAGCCAACCAAAGGCAGCCAAGAGCTCAGCAGTGCTAAGCTAGTGGGAATCTGGCCGGAGCACCTGCTTATCTTTGGGGGATTCCAGAACACAACTGGGGCTTCTCACCTTCGGGGGAAAAGAGAATCTATTATTTTTTTCTCATCCAATTATTTCAAGAGATGTAATGCAATATAGCGAGGCCCTATGCAGTCAGAAAACCACTGGGAAATTTGACTTCAAGTCCATTTTACTTTATAAGAGGGAAAACAAATCTGGTTTGTGAATGACACATCACGTCAGAGCAGTCAGGAGGAGAAAAACCTTACAAATGAAACAAGTGGCTCCCTAGAGACCACAGGTGGCCTCACGTCTCTATCCCACCCTCTCCTTGTCTTGCTGACTAGCTGGCCATTTGTGCCTGTCCCTGTCCTTGCTGACTCGTGTCACATTTCATTCCAGACGTGTTTACAGGTTCTCTTAAGCAATGTTACGTTTGCAGGCTTTTCTAAAACCAAATCTGCTTTCGTAAAGCACAACATCAAAAAAAGTAGGGCATGACATCATTTCCCCTCCTCTCTTCACACGTTTTGCCTTTGGGGTTATGGTTGGGGGTTCGGGTTTTTGTTGTTGTCATTTATTTGTTATTTTAAAGGTAAATTGCACTTTTTTAAAAAAAAAATAATTGGTTGACTTAATATATTTGCTTTTTATTTTTCTCACCTGCACTCACAGGAAATTTGAACAAGTTGGAAACAAGTAATTTTGTTTCAATTCTAAGGAACAATTGCAGCTCTTTAGTATTCACTTGAGTCTTCCCGTTTGTCCTGTTCAAGGTCATGGTCATTTTGGTTGTTTTGATTGTTTTCTTCAAAAACAATTTGAAACCTGACGATTCCTGCAGGCTGTGTAAGCATGTTTACCTGTTGGCTTGCTTTTTGTGTCTGTTAAATGAATGTCACATGTAAACTGCTAAAATAAATCGACAGTGTCTCAGAACTGAGTTAACTGCGGTGACTTGATGCTCTAAAACAGTGTAGGATTTAAGAATAGATGGTTTTTAATCCTTGAAATTGTGATTGTGACCCAAGAGTGGAGGAACTTTCAGTTCTCAAGCTGATAAAGTGTGTAGCCAGAAGAGTACTTTTTTTTTTTTTGTAACCACTGTCTTAATGGCAAAATAATTATGGTAAAAAACAAGTCTCGTGTTTATTATTCCTTAAAAGCTCTGTGTTATATTACCATGGAACGCCTAATAAAGCAAAATGTGGTTGTTTCCGGGCTGTGTCTGTATTGAGGTGTTCTGGAGGCGGCTGCCTGGCTTGGGCCTCCAACAAAACTCCCTCTCTGGAAGCATTCGTGGAGCCCTCGGCTTTGGTTTGGCGACCGTGCCAGTTCAGGAATTCTTCGCTCCGTGTTGCTGGTGGCTCTGTCTAGGCTATAGGATGGGGTCTCATTCCCAGCAAGGCTGCGGCCTGTAGGTATGTGGCAAGCTGAGTGTCAGAATCCACAGGACCCATCCTGGAGAGCCACACAGCCTCTGGAGCAACCTGCACACCTAAGTTTGCAACTGGGAGTCAGGTGGGAGTGTGTAGGTTCGTGTGGGCGACCCCTCTGGGCTCTAGGCTTCTGTCCAGAGTGTTAACCCCGGGAAATCCCCAGGCACCGGGGCATGAAAGCTGAGGCTGAGGTGAGTTGATTTGGATCCATCCCTCAGTCGAGGGGCTTCAGGGAAATGGGACACGAAGGCTTGGGGTTCCATGCTCAACCCACTGCCAAGAATGCTCCAGGGAAAGGGCCACTCCCGCGCCCCAGCAAGGCCTAATGTGTGGTTCCCGGCTCCCCTGTAGCTGGCGCTGGCATTACCGGTTCTGAAAACTGAACAAGGAGGTCGTGTGCTGTGGGCGCCCCAGGTCCAGCTTAAGGTTCCCGAAGTCTTTTTTTTTTATTTGTTTTTTCTCTTTTTCCATCCCTCCTCTTTCCCTTCTTTCTCTTTTTGTTTTCTACCCAGCCCTGTGCCTAACAGGATATGAAGTGATTGCAAAAATACAGACATGACACCCAAGTTTTATAAACAAAGAGCATGGGGGTGAAGGGAAAATCAGAGTAGGAAAAATGAGATAAGGCCCGAGGGGGTTAGTGCAAAACGCCTGCTGGACCGCTGGAAGCTCCCTGGGGAGGGCCGAGTGTTTCAGTAATAAACAGACACACAAAAGAAATAGGGCCAGTTTTAACATTCACGGTGACAGCAGATAAAAATAATTAGTCCTTCAGAAGAAATACATCCAATCCTGATCCTTGGCCCTGACAGCAAGTCCTGGGTCTTCCGGGAACCACCACGGTGCTGAGAGTCTGGGGCTGGCTCTCACCCTGCCTGCCAAGGGCTGAGCTCTTTCTGTCACTCAGTGAAATGGCATCTGTCCAGTAGACGGGGGCACTAAGTCACCCGTAATATTTATGGGGCCTGGGATAAAAAGTAAAGTGGGGACCCCAGGGCCACAGCCTTATCCTCCTCTCATTCCCACCCTGGCTTGACCCCACCCTGAGACGGCCTCCTGCCCCCCCACGCCTGTGGACACAGCAGCCCACGTATCCGGGTTCTGCCTATTAGGGTGGGAAGCTCAGTAGGTTCTCAACTCCTCAGGCTGAGAAAAGATTTTCTCTAGACCAGGTGTCCTCAAACTAAGGCCTGCAGGCCACATGCAGCCTGCCTAGGACATTTATCCAGCCTGCCGGGTGTTTTTGCCACCAATGCCTGTCCTGCTTAGCAGCTGAGTCATCCCTGGGCCCACAGTCCGGCCCTCCAATGGTTTGAGGGACAGGGAACTGGCCCCCTGTTTAAAAAGTTTGAGGACTCCTGCTCTAGACCAAGATTAGGATATGGAAGTATAAAAGAACTTGGTGAGAATGAAAGAGAAAGAGAGAAAAGGGCAGGGAGAGGGGGTGGCATCCCCAGGCAGGAAAGGAGGAATGGGGGGGGGGCCCGCGGGGCTTTTCTGACTGCTCCTGTCAAGGGGTTCTGTTGTTTCTTTGTCCTGTCTTTGCCCGGGATTGCTGAGAGTAATAGTGGATGCTTACAAGGACTAGGGAAGTGTTACCTCTTCCCTCCAACAATCATTGGGAAGGTCATCCTGGTTAGAGGGGGATCTGAGACTTTGGCCCCTAGTAATCGACCTTTTAGTGACTCTCGCTAAATTGACACTCCTCTTTGTATTAAACTCTATAATCTCCAAATCATCATGGGTCTCATGGACAGAAGGCAAGTCCACATCCAGCCACACTTGGCTGGGTGCTTGTTAGGAAGCCAGGGGGCGCTGCGCTCTGTTCCCGGGAGGATTCCAGGGCGCAGGAACTTGCTTGCACGCCCCGTGCACTGCTGCCACCTACTGGACAGACTGCAGCCTCCCAAAGCTACGTTTTTTTAACAGGTTACGTTCCAAACTGCTGGGCAAATATTTCGTCAACCACCAGTAGGTGTTCCTCCTGTTATCCGGGAAGAAAAAGGCGTGAGCATTCAGAACTCTTTATGAAAGTGGAATTAAGCAATTAAAGGCAACTCGGGAAAGGATTATTTTTCAGGGTCCCTGTTCAGGAATGGCTGGAAACTGCAGGGCAGGACCCGGTGGGTGGAAAAGATGGAGACCTGGGAGTGAGGGAGAGGACGGGGTGGTAAAAATTCCAATGGCACAAGCCTTTGCAAGCATCGCATTTCAGTAAGCAGCCCCAGATCAGATTTACATGAGAGTCACTAAAAGCTGACAGTGACCCAGGTCATCAGGGAATGAACATCAGGGTAAGAATCACCTGGGGCCTCATATGCTTTACATAAAAAGCTTAAGTTCAAGGGTCAGGTTGATGACCTAGGAGATGACTGGGCCTGAGATCATACGAACTGGGCTGGGGGTTACTGCAGGAGCAGCCATCTCCATTTTTTTCTTTATTCCATGTTGCAAAGACTTGTTAATTCTTTGGGAAGTCTTTCTGATTTCCCCCATTAGCTACATTCTTCTGCTTATGTGACCCCGTGGTCGACAATTGGTCACAACACTGATCACAATTATCTGTTCCCAAGTCTGCCTTCTCCTCTGGGCTGAGACCAAATTGGACCCATTGTCTACCATAGTAGTGTCTGAGTTGCTCCCAGGCACCCAAGATTTGTGGAAGTCCAGCTCTCCACAAATGGTCAGCTAAAGAGAGACTCATGGAGGTGTGATTCTATACACCACACTGTCCTTCTCTCTGCCAAGCAAGCCCACAGAGAAGGGCATTTGTGAACGAAAACCCCCCCAAGGATGATCATGCAGGGATGGAGGGAAGACGGCCGATTTGAGAGCTACTGAAGAGGTGGAATGAACAGACTTGGACACTGTTGATACAGAGTGGCTCAAGGATAACTAGGAATTGGAGGTGACCACTAGATTCTTGGTTTGGAGTAACTAAATGGCTGGTGGTTTCCAGTTTATGAAACACTAAAGTTGAAACAGATTTGTGAGGGAAGGCAGTTTGTGAGTTCCATATTTTACGTGTGTTTGAGGTGGTGTCAAATACACCAGTGAGGCTGGAGAAACAGTTGGATGTATGGGTTTGACATCGGGAGGGATGCCATTATCTCATCGTGACCACTTGGGAGTCGTTGGCACATAGATGGAAGGGGAACCATAGATGCAGAGATTGCCTAGGAAGATGATGTGGAGGGACGTGGAATAGACAGGCTGATGGGACAGAGCTGAGGGATTCTAAGCACCAAGTCCACTAGACAGAAAGGGCTGGCGAAGAATGCTGACCAATCCTCAGAGAGATGGGAAGAAAGTAAGACCAGAGAGATGGAAATTGATACAAGAAGGGAGAGATCAATGGCACCAATCACCCCTACAGGGTTGGGCAAGATAGAGCTGGAAAACATCTCTTAGATTTAGTAACAGGGAGGTCATTTTATGGTCTGTTCTGAATTTGAAAAGTAAGTGGGAAGTGATAAAATGGATCCAGTGGACTTAGACCCCTTATGCAAGAAAACTGGCTCCAAAGAAGAGAAGAAAAATAGAGTGGGATCAGAATGGAAATGCAGAGTCAGGCGAGGGCTTTACAAAAATCTTTAAAGATGTTTAAGTGTCGATAGAGTTAGCTGGTGTTGCCAGTAGAGAGACTGAGGGTATAGATAGGAAAGTTTTCTTAGAAGGCAAGAGCAGCTGGCATAGAAGAAAGGACGGACTTGGGGACAAAGTGGGATTGGACAGGTGCGTAGGCCGGCTGGGTGTTGTGCACAGGAGTCGTATTCATCTGGTAGAGAGATATTAGTAAGTTTCTACATATTCCCTGTGAAGTGAGAGGGAAGGACATCTGCTGAGGGGAACACAAGGAACAGAGGGTCAGAGATTCAAGATATAGAAAGGGAACAGCAGCAGCTGAGGAAAAAACACACAGCAGGAGTCCTGAGTGTTCAGGGCGTTGTGTTCAGTTGAAGTCAGCTTTTATCATGATGAACAACCAGCTAAGTTCTGCCGTTTTCTGTAACAGTGCTCTGGGGCTCGTGCCCAAGCTAGAGAGGGCAACGTCTGGGATCATCTATGATCGCAGTTTGACCAAGAAGATACAACAGGAGGCCACAGGGTCAAGGGTCCGGCTATTGGTGACAAAATGAATGAACGGTTATCCCATGACATCCAAGTAGGGTGGAAAAGGAAGGCAGGAAGAAGCTGGTGACCAGGAAGAAGGGCCATGGACTAGGGGTCCTGGTGCTACCCAGGCACAGAAGTAGTGGGGTGTCAGAACAAGCCACCCAGAAGGACAGGAGGGTTTTCAGAGAGCAAGGTGTCTACGTCAGTGATCATAGCAAATAGAGCATCCAGGTCAATAAAATGTCCCCCGAGTGGCCAGCTGAGCGGGTACACAGGATGAATCACAAAACTGAAAGACCAGGAAACTGGATGAGTCGCCCACATGGGCGTTGCAGAAACACCTACTGAAGGGAGCAGTGCATAGCCCAGTGCTGGGGGAGTGAGGAAGGGGCCCTGGGGGTGGAGGTAACAGCTGAGCATATCCAGAGGAACGGGCACTGAGGGAATATTGAGGCAGCTTCACCCCCTGAAGAGTGTGGAGAGCGAGAGGCAGGGGAAGCTCCACCCGAGGAGACTGGCAGCACACTTTTGCCTTAGAAAGGAGGATTGGGGGTTCTTTTAAGGCGAGGGGGTAAGAGAGAAGGCCCAGTGAAGATGAGAGGTTATTGAACCGTATGAGTGAGTGTACTGATTATGATCTTGTCTGTAGAGCTTGGGAAGGGG